TGACATTAGCTGTTGATAGGACGTTAAACAAAGTATTACCAAACCGAACCTAACAACGTACATGTGCGTACAAAACTAATACTAGAAATAAAACGATCGACAATTTAATAACAAAATGAAGGTTTGACGTTTTATGTAGGCTTTATAATCAAATTTATAACGCTCTGTAAAATACTTATAAAAATAGAAAATAAATGGAAATTCAATAAAATATACTTTATTGTCATCTTATCACAACAGATCGTGTTATACGCCACAGATATACATGCATAATAATCTGATTAATAAAACACGTTTATAATCAAAGTTTGGCACAGTATGCCCCTTTGGGACCAAGAGTTTGTTTCACCCGCATAAACGGCCGATATTTGTCCACCTATTGCAGAAGCATACCAGACAATAATAATCCGATAAAACGTCCGACAATAGCCATAAATCAAGTCAAGTACAGTCACAGTATTGAGAAGGGCAATAAGAGGGGAAATGGTTACAGTTATTATTGCACCAGGTGTCATCCACAGGAGCAGCGACAGATACACAGGAAAGCTTGTTGGTGGAGGGCGAGGTCATTGTTCTTGTAGTATCTGCAGTTGGTGCTGCTGGTACGGTTGTTGTTTTAGCGGTATCTGTAGTTGGTGCTGTTGGGACGGTTGTTGTTTTAACTGTAGATTCTGTAGAAGATGCTGTCGTTGTGATTGGTAAGGTTGTTGTTTGTTTTTTAACTGTGGTCTTGGTTGTTGATGAAGTCGTTTCAGCTGCTGTTGTTGCTGATGATGTTGATGTTGTCGCTGTTGTTGTTGTTGCTGCTGCTGGTGTTGATGTTTTTAAAATGGCCAGCAAAGTAGATGTCTCAGGAGTCGATACTGTATTAGTTACCCCTGAACTTGAGATAGCGATATCTGAACAACCGTAGAATTCCTCCTGTGGCCCACATCCGATACAGGATCCTTGGCCGTCTGTTCCCCAATTATTTCCTGAATAACAAAAATAGTACAGTTTGATTACGCTACGTTGGAAATCAGAATTATGTTCCTGTGTTTATCAATAGATGTCTATGAAAACTTTTATCTGATGAATGTTTCTCTTTTTTTTCAATTTTGTATTTGTTTGTAACGTGTGTCCTTACCTGTATGGTATCTCCACTGTAACACGCATTGTGAACAGGTGACATTCTCTGGGAGTTTAACTCTGGTGACAATGTCGCCCTTCAGCTTTCCAAAATAGTGTTTCGTCTCCCCAGTCTCGTTTGCAAGTAGGTGCTTCAGACATTCCTTTGTAATCGTTTTGGAGACGTTGTTATTTTCGCAGAGACGGAATTCGAAGAAGCCGAGGTGGTTAGCAGTTACTCGGACGGTGATGTCCACAGTTGAACCAGGAGTATAGTTTTTCGAGATGATCCCCGTAGCGTATTTTCCTCCAGCCTCGTTATCCCTTGGCGCTGTCTGGTCATGCGCATCACCACATAAACCGCACTTTCCACCGAGATTTTGCTGGTGCTGAAATGGAGAGAAATCTCGTTATCTACACGATAATATATCTTGATAAGCATAGCAAATAAACAAAACGTGTTCTTGTTTATTAAAAACAATGCAATACCATGTTAATTTTTAATATAAAAGAAAAGCTTTTATACCAGATTTATCTCCAATCTAGAAAACAAAGAAATAGATATATTCTGTTGTACACTACCTTAGACCGTTCTGTGTATGTACCGGGAAAATATAACGTACACAGGTCACAGGTTTATACAAGCTGTCTTGCATTTTATTGTTAATTTGAAAAACAATACAGATTTTTTTAAATGAAATATAGGGAATCGTTATAAAACAAATTCATTTATTGCACGAAATAAATTGCCATCATGTATTGAAGTTCCCAAAACAAAAATATCTATTTCACGCAAATTTTGTCTGGTGAAATTAAAAGCGTTACCTTACGGAAAAATTCATTATTTGTTGTTATCAAGGTAGAGCGCTGACTTTAAAACAAAACGTCTTCGATTGCATAGTAAACGATGGTTACAATTAAGATAAATGAAAAATTATGAAAAAATACCTTAAATGTAATCAAATAAATATAACTGGGAAAAAAAGAATATATAGTTGCTTACCGAAAATCCACCGCAAAATAGTTCATTGTCGTTGAAGTTCTTTGGTGTATTGAACCCAAATCTCCACATGCTGCTTCTGCTAGGGGGATCCTTAAGGTAGCCGTGCCCGTGCACGGCGCAGAGAAGTGTGTTGAGTGTGTACAGCACGACAGACATGTGAAGCGACTGCATCCTTACTAGTGTCTGTTAGTACCTTTCCGATACTGGGTTGAAGCAGACTGGGGACCTGACCATGTACAAGGGTATATATACTACTCCCTGCTATCGGAGTACATCCACGGGTATTCAATATGACGTCATGAGAAATTGATATAAACCGGATATGGCGTTCCTACCCTGACCATAAACATACCAGGTTAGGAAAAACGTGATAACGAGGTAACAATGATCAATGGAAATAGCACGGCATTTAAATTCAGTTATTATTCCATAAACTTTCGAAATATATAGAAAGAAACACTTAACAGAAAAATGCACAGTAAAATGGCATTAAAATAACATAAAACAGCCTTTTTTGGAATATGATTTTTCGCTTACCCATTGTTGGTTGTTATAATTCCATGTTTCGGGGCTATAGCAGATATAAAACTCGTGTCAGTTGTACTGCTAATAAGGTAAGGGGCCATAGTTTAGCTGAATCAGCGCCATAAAATCAGGACTTCCTGGTCAGGTTCTATTTTACAATTTCTGTGTTTGTTAAAAGTCATTGAGTGTATCGATAGTGTTACACAGGCCGAGCGGAGTACATCTTGTTGATAAAAGTAAAAAAATCTTAATACATTGTTTAATCCTCAAAAGACGAATAAGCAACTCACTTTAGGCCAACAGATAGTTTTAAAAATAAGTATGACTCCTATTAGATATGTTAAAAACATGTAAACTTGAAGTGTTAGGTGAAATAGATTTCTTGCATACCTTAGTTACAAAAAAAGACGCCGCTTTGATAACAAAACAGTTAGTTCCATTGTGTTAAATAGGGCTTCATATTGTCCCCCGTAATTGTTTTTATGCCTCATCATTGCTTTTTGTCTTTTACATCGAATTTATATTAGAAACCTATCAAATTTGTAAAATCACTCACGGAAATACAGAGCGTGTAAACAAAAAAACACTGCTTACATAAACTATGTGAATATGAAACCGCTGTATTAACGCAAACAACTGACAGCAACGTTGTAACAGAAACCATGTTCATAAACAAAGTGAATTGACATATCCTTGAAACATAGATGTACAAACAGTAATTGCACGAAATGTGTGAATGCACAGCGGTTTAATTAGACAAGCTATTTAAACATAATAAATTAACAATTATGTTGCACAACACATACAAATAGATAAATAAATAAATAAAAAGTGTTCATGCTTTTTGATGATGCAATAATAGATTCATTATATATTTAATTAGTTAGTAATTTTATTAATTTCTTTTTACGAATATAATTGCACTTTATTTACAACGTAATATATTCATTCAAAATTATGAAATAAATGAAATGTTATGACACAAACTATGTTAATATCAATGGCAATGAAATAGCCCAATCTACTTGCAGGTAAATGTAAAAGCAATGTAATAACAAATCATTCTGATTAGTATATCTGGTAATGTTTATATGATACCAACTACCCAAAGATTTATTGCTATTTTGGGATACTATTACTGATGTCAGTTTGTATACAATGTGTGCCACTCTTACTTAACTAAATGACTAGTTGATCAGAATACCATCTGACCAATTTGACAACCCCGTCAGTTGACTCAGATAGGATTTGATTGTTACATGGGTACACTGAGTAACACCAGGTACAGATGAACTAACACTGATAAGTCACATATCAAATGTTTAGGAGCAAGTTTGACTTTGGAATGCAAACAATAACGTTAACGTAGGAGTAAATGACATATGGATAGAAAAGCACGTGTTTGATATATAATATACCGGTAATTGTATAACCTGGAATCCTTCATGTGTAAGCAACCTGATTGTGGTCATTGGTATTATATTTCATGTTAACGTGTGTATGATTAACAGGAAGGTGAGTTAGCTGAATCAGAATTATAACACACCCCAATGGACTTTATATCAGAACTTTCGGTTTCTGTATGAACTAGTGTCATTTACTTCTTACATGAATACTTTTCGTTGCAGACGCTCTTTACTACCTTTGTAATACACATGTATAATCTGCTAATGTATTACACCCTGCGTATTGTAGTGAATAAATATACAAAGATCTCAACGATATTGCATAGTTTTAGGGCATCTCTCCATATACAATTTATCAATTTATTGATTTTTTTATTAGAAAGTTGGTTTATTTCTTTAACTGTATACTGTTTTGTTCTTTCTGTATATTATCTATCCAAAATGTGTCGTCTCGGCCGTACTAACACCTACCAAACAAAAATTGTCCTTTCAGTAGAAATTAATCATACAAAATTAAACAAATTAAATTGTTAAAAATGTTCTATAATCTATTTTACTACTGTGTCTAATGATACAATATAACATTTCTAACAAACAATTTATGTATGAGTTTAAAAAGATCCATATATTAATAATACAAATAATAAAATTCACAACATATGGCATTCCTTTAGATCACACGCAGATAATTTGCACAGGAAAAAAATCATATCTTGCTTGTAAAATGCATGCACCTGTCCATCCTGTCAAAATTTAATATATGAATTCATGTACATGTACCTCATGTTAAACATTTTCATATGTCTGAGTGTTGGAAATAAAATCTGAAAATCTGAAAATCTGAAATCTGACCTACTTCAATTAAAAATCTAATAAAGCGGACGCCTATGTCTATGAGTATATTTCTGAGATGACCACACCTGAGAGCTCGGCTTGTAGTAATCATCTGATAAAAAAACCCATAAGAAATAAAAAAAAAAGTGTATTTTATCATTTGTATCACAAAAAAATAATCTAAGAAGTACGTCCATCTCAACTTTTTCGTTAACATGAAATTATGAAACAATCTTAACGATATACCAGCTATCCTCAGGAGGAGATCAGGATGATTTAGTATATAACGTGTGGTGACGATATCGCCCTAGTCAGTAAACACAACACGAACAGTGCAGTCATAATTCTTACAGGTAAACAGACACATTCAATGGCTTTGTTTACAAGATGTTCACAAACAGTTTATTGTAGAATGAAATCGGAAATATTTCTACCATACCTCTTGCATTCCATTAGACATGTTTGTTCAAAACATCACGTTAATATCCGAGGAAGAAGTGAGTAATCCCTCGAAATAATGCCTATATTATGAATTGTTTATAAACAGGTAAAGCCTAGGACATCTGAGGAGAAGTTAGTAATCCCTCGAAATAATGCCTATATTATGAATTGTTAATAAACAGGTAAAGCCGAGGACATCTGAGGAAGAAGTAAGTAATCCCTTGAAATAATGGCTATGTTATGAATTGTTTATAAACAGGTAAAGCCGAGGACATCTGAGGAAGAAGTTGGTAATCCCTCAATATAATGCCTATATTATGAATTGTTTATAAACAGGTAAAGCCGAGGACATCTGAAGAAGAAGTAAGTAATCCCTCGAAATAATGCCTATATTATGAATTGTTTATAAACAGGTCAAGCCGAGGATATCTGAGAAAGACGTTAGTAATCCCTCGAAATAATGCCTATGTTATGAATTGTTTATAAACAGGTAAAGCCGAGGACATCTGAAGAAGAAGTAAGTAATCCCTCGAAATAATGCCTATATTATGGATTGTTTATAAACAGTAAAGCCGGGGACATCTGAGGAAGAAGTTAGTAATCCCTCGAAATAATGCCTATATTATGAATTGTTTATAAACAGTAAAGCCGAGGATATCTGAGAAAGACGTTAGTAATCCCTCGAAATAATGCCTATATTATGGATTGTTTATAAACAGGTAAAGCCGAGGACATCTGAGGAAGAGGTTAGTAATCCCTCGAAATAATGCCTATGTTATGATTTGTTTATAAACAGGTAAAGCCGAGGATAATATCATTTTTAGGTTCATTTAACCACATGTTTCCCTCAACAAAAGTCCTTCATTGTTAAATTAGATGCAAAATAAAGTTTTAATCATTAAACAAAAAAGTGTATTGAAATAGTTGGGAGGAAAGTTCTGCAATTTGGTCCAGAGATGTATGACGTCACAATTGAAAATGACGTCAAGTGAATATTTACCCGCTGCTTCTGAAAAAAAAAAGAAACCATATCGAGTGAATGCCACTCACGAATCACCGACCTCCACTTGAAATGATTCAACCAATGAGGATGAAGGGGAAATGCACGTCATCTAATAATACAGAACAATAATCACTGCATTTAAACAGGAGAGAGGCATCAATAAGGAGGGTTTGGGTGAGGCAAACGAAATTAACATTTTAATGCATCACATGCCAAAGTCCAGTTAGTTTGATTATTGTCTGATGTAAGATCTAGAGTCGTTTGTTTACAGTGCCATCAAGTTATAAATAAACTTTCTTCTTGGAAGAACATGGCTATTTGAAACTTGCGTAGCTAGGTGGCGTAGTCAATCAGCTTACGCTGTGATTTACTTGGACTTAGCTAAAGTACAGCACCGTACGAGCGTCTTAACAAATAAATACATGTAACATAACATCAAATAAATAAAAACACAGGAAAACCTGAAGTATCAACAAAACCGTTATTCGAACTCGAGCCTGACATACAATACAGTCAACGAAGTCATGATTGACGGTCGACTATTCATTTTAGTGGCCAATGCTTATTGTTTCTATGACAGATTTCAAAGATGTTCAGTACAGCGTTACCACCATAAGAGGACTGGTGCACCCGATAGATTACGATACACTAAACGTTTCGATTCGATACCCTGAGTTTCAAACAACCTTTTGACAATGCGATAAAGGTAGGCACTTCCTAAACAATGTTGGTATTCCATGATTAATTGGAATGATTTTCCGAAAAGTGACTCCTGCCAACGAGATTGGGCGATATTTTAAGGTATTCTTTCTCCTTTAGATCGTGGATAGAATTAAATCAACGCCGTCTCCCGTCAGGTCACGTGACCACATGATGTACAGCACAGTATTGTGTGCTGGCAGCATATGACCCTGGTAATGTCAGTCTTTGCTGTGATGTATTAAGTTACAAAAATTACACGATTGCTGATGTAAAAATAACTTTACTTCTGACATAGAGCAGATTTCTAAGAATTGTAAACAAGGGGGAGCAGTATTAAACCCGGTACAAAGTGCGTAATGGACATGCAGTGTCAGATTGTAATCCAGTAAGGAGTAGAAACCTCAGGCAGGTGTCTACGGGACGTCGTTAGTCTTCTAGATATGTTGAAAAATAAATTCGGTCCTACAGATAGTGATAGTACTAGTATTCGGGACAATCTGGTCAAATGTGGACTCGTTTGACATGTGGCGTTACGTTTCAACCCTTGTCAGGGTAGGTGTATGCACATAGTCAAAATCAAATCAAACATCATTCGCAGTATTCCCAGACTGAGAAACCTCTGGGAAATGTCAAACATATGAAGGACCTTTGACAGTAGAAATAAAATAAAAAAAAGGCTAATCACAATTATGGTATGATCAAA